GTCGCCATGGCCCACAACACGCTAAAAGGTATGAAAAGGATCGATTTAGTAACGTTATACCGAAAATTGATTCTGCAGAAAGCCATTACGCAGAAGCCCATTATAACGAAATTTCAATACACAGAAATTTCAATACGCGGAAATCCGTTACGCAGAAAACCATTATACAGAAAAAGCATTACGCAGAAATTCATTCCATAGAAAATTCATTACGCAGACGACGATTACACCGAAATTTCCGTACGAGGAAACAGTGGGCCAGGTGGGGGGCGAGTGGGAAAGGACGGCGGTGCCCGATTCGATTACCCAAGTTTTCGGTCAATTACCCAATTGTTAGGCTTAGGCTTAGGCTTAGGCTTGGGCGTAGGCTTGAGTCGGCCCAGGCCCTCTAATAATTCTGAAATCTGAACGTTTGCGTTGCAGGCCGTCGAATGAAGCTGGGCCCAGAGTTCGAGTGTACCCGGCCCCCATACAACAACACCACCGCCATCCACCCATTTCTCAGCACCGCCAATCATTCGCGCGGTAAGTGCCGCGCCTTTTCTCGAGTTATTAACCCTAAATTGATTCTGGACTGTTAGCGGGGGGGACGTAATTTTGGCTAAACCCCAGAAACCCCCCCCCAGCCGACCCCCACCTGCCGTATCTCGGCTCCCTGTTCATCTACAGGTGTGTGAAGTATACCAAAATACTCGCCACAGCAAGACGAACATTTTGGTATACGTTACACACCTGTAGATGCACAGGAGCCGAGATACACAAGTTGGGTGCCGGCTGGGGGGGGGGTATCTGGAGTTTTACCGTAATTTTTTTTTGTAAGTCTAGAAGTGCCTAGTGAATTCATAGAAGGTGCCGTATTAGTGTTTTTTTTCGTAAAATCTAACTATATTTCTACTAGAAAAACCATCGAAAAGCTTACAAACAGTTACATCGAAATTTTGACTAAAAAATTACGATTTTTGCTCGCAAAATGGAATATTTGGTTTTTAACAAAAATTTGGAAGCTTTTAACATTCGTTATTTTCTCCCCCCTGATAATGCAAAAGAACCCCAATGTTGTAGGGGACCTTTGCCACGATGTGACGACAATCTATCGTGAATGGCCATCCTGGAAATCAACATCATCGCACATCATTGTCCACTACGACGATGAGGCCGATCTAGTGCGCGCGAACGCGATGTGCTTCAAGCATTGCATCGGCAGAGAGGGTATCCGCTTCAACTGGTTCTGGACTGTTAGCGGGGGAGTGTTAGCAGGGGACAACCATTTTTGTTTTTCCACCTGTTGATGAAAAGGATGTATTTTTATAGTGTTTTTTACTTGTTATTAATTGCTGGGAAGGCCCAAAAAATGGTTTATAAAATTTTGAAAATTCAAAAATTTTGGCCTTTTGGATCCTTTTTCATACATTTTTGAGAAAACAGTACAAACTTTGGCTAGAATCTCGGCCCTCTGTTCATCTACAGCTGTGTAGAGTATACCAAATGTTCGTCTTGCTGTGGCGAGTATTTTTGGTATACTTTACACATCTGTAGATGAACAGGGAGCGGAGATACGGCAGGTCGGCTGGGGGGTCTGGAGCTCAGCCTTAGTCCCCCCGCTAACGGTCCAGAACCCAAAAGAGAGCTTTCCCCTATTTTGTTGTAGACGTCTTCGTGCACGGCCTTCGATTCATCACGAACAGCAAGTCGCGGATGGTGGGCCCGGATGAGTCGGCATACGGGCTGGCCAGCACGCTGCTCATCAACCTCGAGCACGGCCCGTTGGGTACGTCATCCCGTCGTCGTACTCCCCCGCTAACAGCTCAAAACCCTTAATAGCAACGCATTTGTAGAGACCTTGGTCGACTGGCTGAACCACACGCTCGGCACGCGACAATCAACGGCCGATGACGTGCCGCGACCCCGATACGTCCTCTCCAGAACCAACAACCTTGAGTAGGACAATGTTCTTGAGCATTATCGGGGGGACCAGCTTTTTTCCAAGCAAAAATTTTACAAATTGTATAAAAAACATTAAAAAAATCGATTTTCCTACCGAAAAGGATCGATTTTTTAGTAAAATTTCGACTTTTTGAACATTTTCAAAGTTTTTAGATAGTTTTGCTAGTCGAAATATACAGGGTGTCCCAAAAAAAAAGCACCCTTCCGGCATTTCGCCGCCTTACATCCAATCGGTCCCATACTTTGTACAAGGGTGCATCAGACCATAAATAACCACAATCCTGAGTTTTAGCCCGATCGCTACAGTAATTTTCGAGTTATCGCCAAAGTACCGTTTTCTATGCGGCTTTTAACAGTTTTTTCGGCTATCTTTTTGGACTTTGCATCGATTTGCATCGACTTCCGGCTGCGAATCCCTAATTTTGCTTAATATTGGGTTTGTCCTTGGGTTACAAAAATTGTTGAAATCAACGGGTATTCGATGAATTTTTATCATGAACAAATTTCTAAGGGTAACGAACGCTTGCCGCTTCATTTTCACTTAATATTCGAATGGTCGATTCCGACGAAAACCTTATGAAAAACGGATAATAAAGTTTATTTTTGCTGTATCTCGAAAATTATTGTAGCTGGCGGGCTATAACTCAGGATTGTGGTTATTTATGGTCTGATACACCTCTGGTCCAAATTTGGGACCGATCGGATGTAATATGGCGAAATGCCGGAGGGGTGCTTTTTTATGGGACACCCTGTAGTTTTATTTTACTCAAACAACTATGAAAACACTTTCTATTAAATTACCGGGTATTTCTAGACTTGCACAAAAAATTTCGCTCCCCCCGATAATGCGAAAGCACCTAAGAAAAGCACGTTTTTTGGCTTTGCAAAGCCACAAATCCGCCGCATCCGTTTGCAGGCAGAATGGCGACGATGAGGATAGCCTGTGGAACATGTTCTGGTCGTTCTTCAACACGGCCCTCTTCGTGTCGGTGATCATCGCCTACCAATTCCCTCGTGTGGATCTGCCTTTTCCAGTGGCACAGCATCGACGAGCGTACGTAGTACGGCCTGCCAAACCTCACTCTCTCAAAATTTGGTGCTTTCGCATTAACAGGGGGATTTCCTAAGAGCTCAGAAAAGCCTAGTAACTGCGTCAAAAGTACGTTAGTAGCGTTTTTGAGCAAAATAACACAATATTTCCGGCAGAAAAACGCTAAAAAACGCCGAAAAAACCCGGACCTTTTTGGATAGGTCCAGAAATGCCTAGTAGGTTTATAGGAGGTACTTTAATAGCGGTTTTAGTAATCTATGACTTGATTTCAACCAGAAAAACTATCTAAAAACTTTAAAAACGGTCCAAAAAAGTCGAAATTTTGCTTAAAAATCGGCTTTTTGGTCGAAAAGATGGATATATTTGATAGTTTTGAATCAAATTTGTGAATTTTTCACGCTTAGGAATAGGAAAAAGCCTTTTTAAAAACACAATTTATATTTGAAAAGTTCAGATTTCCAAGCGATCGAGGCGCACGACCGGCTGGCGTTGCTCGGTCGGTTTCCCCGCGCTGCTTCTCCGCCTGTGCCGGTTTTTGATGCATTGCCACCATTACCTGGTGGTTACCATTCATCATCATCATCATCCTCGTCATCATCATCGTTGCATGCCCCGGCTCGGAATATGCACGCTTCGCCGGCCCCGAGTCTGTGCAGCACGCAGACCGTCGTCTCCACCGCATCGCGTGCCCCGCCTCCTTCCACCGCCGTATTCACCGCCCTCGGGTCGGCCAGGTCCCTTTTTTGGGGGTTCTGGTTCGTTAGCAGGGGGGTTGATCTCGTAGATTGTTCATCAGTTCGTCACGTAGTAGAGCATCAAAAAAACAAAAGGATTTGGTACTATTCAAGTTTGGGGGGGGGGGGAAAATTTGTTTAGGTGATTTTTTAGGCTACTTGGTCAGTTTTTCGCGTCTGATCAAGCGCAATGCTCCTAAGCTAAGCGAAGCTCGAACAGAGAAAGAAGAAGAGAAGCTATTGACAAAAAATCCCCCCCGGTAACGAACCACAACCTTTTGACACGCTGCGAGCATTCCAGCTGTGTAGGGCGGGTGGCAATCGGTTGCGCGAAGCGTCACCAACAAACGGCTTCATTTCAGCGAGACGAGCCGAAAATCGACGGACAGCGCCCCTCCTCGTCACGTCTAGAACGAGACGCCGCCCGGCAGACCTTCTCCATTTCGATCACGTCTTCCATGCTGGAATTGTGTTTTCTCGTGCGGGTGCCCGCCATGGCACCGTTGCCCGGAAAAAATCTACGGCTTCCAGCTGGCCAAATGTTTATTATTAGGGGCACAAGCAAAAACTGGATGAAGCACTGTCAAAGCTCTGCACATCAAAGGGAAAAGCCACGCCCGGGACATACACGTTTCTGAAATTGGGGGAGAGCAGGTGGAGACACGGAACTGAAACAACGCGGATACGAGGACCAGAAATAACAAGAGACGGGGCTTTTTTCAAATTGCTAATCACAATCAAGCGCATAGAAATCAGACACGGGGAAATGGGTTTATATTATGACATCGTTTTTTTCTGTTTTTCCCTTATTTGTCGTGTCGATTGCCCTACGCCGCGCTGTCCGTCTCGTCGCTTTTCTAAACAACCCGACAAATTATCGCAAATTAGAAATCGTTTTACCTGGAAAATCTTCTCGATTTGAGCCTGCTGCTGCTCCTCGGAAACGGGGGCGGCTGTCCGCGTCGATTGTGGTTTGTCCTGAAAAACGAAACGATAAATGGGGCAATTAAATCCGAGACATCGGCCGATCCGCGGGAATGATTTTTGCGCGACGAGCACCACCCTCACAACATTCAGCCGTTCAACATGCTTTCTTTTTGCGCGTTTCCGCGCGGCAGCCATCGACAACGAAAAAGCGAGAGAAAGAGCGATTTCCGGAATACCGGACGACGAAATGCGAGTTGTGAAGGTGCCGGTGGAGGGGGCGGGGTCGAACCGTCTTTATTCTAACCAAAAATTGAACGCAGGACGGCAAAATGCGGGCTCGATCCCGCGCCTCGTTTTTGTCCATTGGAAAAAGGGAATAAGGTTCATACCTTTAGCAGATTTGAGAAGAAGCTGGCCAACGGAGAATCGGAAGCCGTTGCCCCGGCTTCATCCACCTTCTTTTGCCCATTTGTCGCCGAGTCCTTGGCCAACATGTCGGCGAACCGGGCGAGGAACACCTGCAAAAAAGACTGTAAAATCCCAGAAATGAAAATGAGCAAACCTGCGTGTCCTCGGCGATCACCTCGGGCTCCTTGACGACGTTCACCTTCTCGCGATTCGGCTCGAGCACGTCGATCTCGGTGATGTTCGACTGGAAGTGGGAAAATGGCATTAAAAGTTGCGCAGAATAAACTGACTCTAACGATCTCAATCTTCTTTTCGCTATCCCAGCCGGCCGGCACGAAGATTGTATCTCGGTCGATCATCTGGGCCGAAGTGGTGAAGGGGAGACCATAGGCACGGTGCACGATGTACTAAAAGAAAGTTAGCCGTCTGTGCGACACAATTTTCCTGGGAAATCGATTTCCAAAAAAGACATTTGACTCATTCGCATTTTGGGGGGAAACAAAAACTTTTTGTAAAAGTCTAGAAATGCCGAGCAACGTAATAGGAATTATTTTAATAAGGTTTTTAGTAAAAGAACCAGACGTTTTTGACGGGAAAAAGAGATAAATTTTGATGCAATAAAAGGGTAAAGTTTCCGCAAACGCTCTGGGCTGGTACCAAAGTAGATTTATGACCCCAAAATTTATAGGGGGTATGAGAAAAATTTATGGGGGGTCATAAAAATATTTATGACCCCTATAATTGAGTTTTTACCCCCCATAAATGAGGTTTTCACTCCAAAAAATGCAGATATATCCCCTGTAGATCAATCTATACCCCCTATAAATGAGGTTTTCAGTGGAAAAATGCATTTATACCCCCTATAGATCCTTTTATACCCCCAATAAATGGGCCGTGGCGTGGCGGTGCACCAGGGAAGATGCACCCTTGTCCTTGCGAGCGAGATTGAGCCAGAAACTGTGCTGAAACATTTGCGATGGTTATTTTCAGCACAATTGAAATTGATTTAAAGCATAAAACATTATTTAAGCACTTTTTAAAATTGGAAAATTTGAGCATCTGTTACAAGTTTTCATGCTTGAGACAATATCATGAAGACTCTGAGAACGGGCACGTTTAATTGTACCAGAAAACTAGTGACACAAAGGCCAAACTCAAAAAGTTCGAAAAATACCAAGGAGAGTTCAATGGACGACGTGTATACCCCCTGTAAAACCATTTATATGAAAGAAACATGACTTAAATCATTTATGGGGTGACCAAATCTTTGTGGCTCGATAACTAAAAACTAGGTGGACTCGAGTAACCGCGCCCATGTCAACTTATTCCTCATCCTTACCTAATTTGACCCTATGACGCTCGAAACCCAGAAAAATTGAATAATTTTTAATGTTTTTTAAAATTTTACCAGATTTAACCCCCATAACCGTCCGCGTTTTGGAGGTCGGTTTTAACCTCATAAATTCCATTTATGACCCCCATAAAAATTTCTTACAGGGGGTAATCCAAGATTTATACGGGTATAAATTTTTTGCCAAAGTTTCGACGAGTTTTTTTCCGAAAGGCTTTGCTGTCCAGCAGCACGTTCAATGCTTAGTCGGATAGAGGAGACTTTCTTCTCTCGAAAAAACTTATTTCGGATTTTTGCTTGGCGAATAAGCATTTTAGAATGAAAAGTTCAAACCCACGGAATTTTCGTCTAATCGATCTATAGGGGGTATCTATGGGGTCATAGATGATTTACAGGGGGTATAGACACTTTTATGGGGGTATTTCGAACTTTGGTACCAGCCCTGGTCGAAAAGTGCCTAGGAATTTTTTGTCGATCAAAAGTTGATTCAGTTTTTTTCGAAATCGACAGCCGGAAAGAAAAAG